TCTGAAGTAAGTCGTCCCAAATAATAGTTCCTTCCATCCTTTAAAAGCAACTGGTTTTAGTTGTAGTGTTGAGAGAGAATGATTATTTTCTTTCTTGGCCATGGTAAATGGTGGTTAGACTAAGTAATTATAATATAACTAAGGTTGATAAATGAGCCCTTTGTCATCATTTGAGCTGAGAAATGAATCTGTGGCTGTGACAAACATCATACCTACGCAGTAAAATGAAATAGCCCTGACCTGGTATTTAACTCTTCCAGTACCAGAGACTAAAACTAGCAATAAATCATCAGGCATTAAACCGTTGTACGGTACTGGTACTTTTCTCCCATAATATTTTCAACGCTACTGTAACAAATTTGTATTGTGTACCAGCACCTTTTTAAAAGCATTTTATGGTGAGTACTGGCACTTTTCTCCCAGAAAAAAGCTCTTTATATAACTCACACACATGAATATTTAGCATCAAATAGCAAGACAAGATCATAAACACTGAGGTATTGAAAATAGCAGGTATCACAACTGTTAGCTCAGTGCTCCATCTTTATGTGGCTAGGACACGCCGGAGGATAGAGGATGGTAGCATCTTAAGGTCATTCTCTATAATGAATTGCAAACAGACAGAAGACGGGATCCTCTGTAATTTAAAATTATAACATAACATAACCCTTGACCCATTAAGGTCGTGGAGGGGTATTGATGCACGCACTAGCATGTAAAACCCGCCATCTTTCTCTGTCTTCCGCTCGATGAATAAGTGTATGATAACTTAGTCCTGTCTATTTCTTGATGTTGTCATTCCAGGTTCTTCTTTGCCCTCCTCTTTTTCGAGTACCCCCCAATGTTCCTTGAAGTAGTCTTCGCAATCAAATCATGTGCCACTAAGTGCTCAAACTAAGCTAGCTTGCGAAGTTTCACCATTGCCAAGAGAGGCTCCTGATGTCCCACAAATTTGTATATTTTGTCTCTGACATATTTATTATTTTGTTGTTCTAAATACCTAACTCGTAAGTTGTGTCTGTAGCATTTACATTTGAAAGCCTGAATCCTTTCCAATTCCACATTAAGAGTCCAACTCTGACATCCATATAAGAAAATAGACAATACCAGTGATTTGTGAATATTGACCTTGACTGTGATGCTGATTTTGCTCTTCCACATCAAAGCATTAAAAAATATTGTCAAGTGGAACATGAATGATACAGGTGTTTAGTTGTATTTCTGGGAACATAATGGTGTAGATCAAATTGCTTGGAAGGGGAAAGTTATGAAGGAAGTTGGCACAAAGGAAAAAATATGATTGCAGATGAGTTAACCCTACCAGACCCCAGGCCCTGAACCTAACTGCCTCCTATACCTGAGCTCCTGGGCATTAACGCAAAAAAAACCAACACGATATACAAAAATATTAGTTACATGCAAACAAGTGGCTAGAATAAGATGAAACTTGGAGACACTAGAAAATAGGTTAACCTTATATTTAGCGCCAATATTCCACTTTGCATGCTAAACCACCCAACAGGATCAACCTTGTTTCACAAAGTGAACACCAGATGTTGCTGTTTGAGGGACACGCCCCCTTTTCCTACTTTGGATCTATTTCTAGATTAATAATTTTCAAGATTTTCCTCATCATTCCATCTCTCACTGGATGTGTCGCTTCAGCTGGGAACATATTCTTCCTGAAATTATGACTCCGCAGAATCTGAATAAACCAAAGTATCGATCACCTGGTGGACTGTGAAAAGCCTAGACCTACTTCACTTTCTTGTCGAAGTGCTTGGTTCATCAAACGCTCATTTTATTGTGAATTTTCAGAATTTTTGCAGGTAAAACAACACAGATTTTATCCAAACATATGCGGGCGGACATCTAGGAAGACTATTCACGAGATCTGATTTCGATAAGCTAGTTATTTTTAGTTGATGATGCATTATTTTCTTATAGTATGCAAATTCCCCACATTGAGGGACAGCGGTGTATCAGCATGTTAGGAAATTCCCGTAATAGCTGGCAAGCGGTCTGGTAAAGAGCCGAATGTCTGAGAAAAACATGTCAGATACATGTGATGGCAACAGCGGTTCTTAAATATTCTTCTTTCTTTTTCATGTTCACCGGCTGAAAACTCTGGCAGACATTTCTGGTGGGTTATTCACTTCTGAACTTTAGTCCTGTTCCAGAAACTGAGTGTTGCGTGCACATCCGTTTTACAAGTCTGACTCATTTGTATTCAGACTGTTGGTTCTTTGCCTATGTACTCTGACTTCAAAGGAAGCTCCCAGTTAGTTGACTCTTACGACATGCTTTTGGGCAGGCATTGGGTCTATTCTCGTTTTCCCCCCACAATTGGACCCCAGAACCCATACTGGGTGGTTCTCAAATCTTGTGTACTTATTGTGTTAGCTTCTTCTTAACACACACTGGCCTTGGTAGTCACACTTGTCGTTGGCATGGACTTTGATTTCCACGCCTCTCTATACTCTCTATAGCACAGGTGACTATAATGCAGAAAAATAGAAAGGGGCCAACTATATGTATAGCTCACGACTGGTATTTACCCAGCCTTGTGTTGTCCTAGTTGTTACATTACTTCTTAACACATGTATACTAGGTGATCAAAATAAGGTTGAGGTGTAAGTTATCTTTACTTGGCGTCTTACTTTACCAGATAAAGGTCGGCAACTATTTTATATTTGACCCCCCCCCCCCCCCTTCCACCCCGGGATAACAGCTATGAGCACTTATTTCCATGACATGGATGAGATAATGGGCACACAAGAAAGAGAAACATTAATATCAAGCAGAGAGTTGTGTAATTTCTCTTTATATACACAATAGAACAGTTATTTATACTATATTTATTATATTTACATGTAAATGAAGGTTGACTTACTCTGGTCGAACGGAGAGGCAGCTTGGAAATAGAGTGGCAGAGCACATACCCAAATGGCTACATACACAGCTTAGTGATTCTTAAATGGTGTCGAGACTAGTCAAGAGAAAAAGAACCCACTTCTTCCATAGAACGTTATCTACTTAATTCCAGACACACAATTGACAAAAACAGTGCTTTCTGTGTGGTTATTACACTCCGAACAGGCGACTGTTGAGAATGGCCAAAGCTTTAACAATTAACATCAATAACCCTCTCCGTTGTAAGCAGACGGAATTTATAGTAAATTTTAAGTTACCCTGGTAAGTCACATGACTAGGGTGAGCTTCCGGCAGCCAAAACACACACGATGTGTCAAAAGAAACTTTCACATTTAAAGTTGGATTTATTCAGTTTTATGCTTCATTTTATGTTGTTGTAACTCTGTAGTAACGCACCTGATGAGATACAGCAAAATATGCCCGGCAATAAATTGTGCATTATTTGTGTCAGCATTATCTAAAGTTATTTATACATTGGGATAAATATAAATTTTCCCGTAATGTTCTGGGGCCCATTGTGGAGATTTAAAAAAGAAATGAGAAGAGTAGACCCACTGTCTTCCTAACAAGCATGTTGTAAGAGTTGACTAATTAGGTGTTTCCTATTATTAGAGTGCACCTGCCTGAGAGGCGATGAACCAACAGTCTGCACGCAAATAAGCCAGATCTGTCATACAGATTTGCATGCAAAACCTGCGTTCTGCATCAAAACTAAAGTTTAGAAGTGGATGGGCAATCAGAATTTTCCACTAGAGGTAACAGCTGGTGAACATGAACAAGAAGAGTATATTATTAAGTGGGATGAATTCAAGAAAGGTGAAGACATTAGAGAATTGCCTGGACAAGCACTGAGTTAGAGAGTTAACAGACAGGCACTTAAATGGGAAACAGGTGGATCAAGGAGAGGAGAATGACTAGAAGAAACTCTGAGACATGTGTTAATGGGAGAGGTCAAAGGTACGAACTGGATTCCATCTATGATATTCTTCTTCTTCTTTGCATTCACCAGCTGTACACTGTGGCGGAAAGTTCTGGTTGCTCATCCACTACTGAACTGCAGTCCTGCTCCAGAACCTGAGTGTTGCGTGTGCATCAGTTTTACAGATCTCATTCTCTTGAATACAGACTGTTGGTTCCTTGCCTCTCCGGCAGATGCACTCTGAATTCAAAGGAAGCTCCCCAATTAGTCGACTCTTACGACATGCTTTTGGGGAGGCAGTGGGTCTATTCTTGTTTTCCCCACAATGGGGCCCCGGAACCCTCATGGGGGATCTATGATGTTGAAACAGTTATGCAGGATAGATTGGAATAAAAGAGTACACTGAGCTCTATGTGATATATAAATGGCACAACATGATGATAATAATGATGACAGTTGTTTAGCAAGGAACTAATTTCTCTCTATATCTAGAATAGAACCGTTAATCTTTAGAAGCATAGACTGTAGAATAACTTCGTAGTTTACATCTAGTCAGTTTTCTCAGAAATGGAGTGGTTGCCTTTATGTTCATTCTCATGAATTGTCCTCTGATATCTCCTGCTTAGCTGATCTATGACCTGCATTTTACTGAGAATCTCCATCCCAGTGATGTAGCACACCACCATGGGTTAACCCTAGGCATTGTGCTTTCCATTGTCATCAAAGAGTTAAATGTTTGTGCAGATGGTAATATTCTCTTCCTGATCCACAGATGCATCTTCACTGGGAAGGATCCGCCAGGAAGCTGAGTAAAACTGTAAAGTGCCCGTTGTTGAAGACAAGCTGCGATTCCTCCTATCCACTTGACACCATCTACTCCTCAACAAGTGTTGCCTGAGAAAGATTATTGTGGAACTCTAGGACACTTCTGCGGTTCTCATTGTATTGCGAATTTGCAGTTATTTCCCTGGAGTAACGTTTCAGATTTACATATGGTCGTATTGAATGGTCACATGAGCATAGTGGATGGTGTCTAAATTGTCACTTATATTTGCATATGGTTTGCAATACCAGGTGAAAGGTCGCTGCAGTCCATATTGGGATCCCTGACAGGTAACATGCTGATAAATTAAGCTGACCTCAGAAAATGTCCTCTTCAAGCTCATGGGATGCGTACTCACAGCATACGGGACTGCCCGCTTCCTTGGAGCAGTACACTCACTCATTTCCATCAGACATGCGTGGTCTAGCAGGGAGCTCTGCCTCTTCAGGAATGAGCGGCTTACCGGGTGAAGGTATGTTGGGGTATCCAAAATCTAGTGATCTTACGGCTGCAAACTTAAACCTGTCTTCTCCCTATGCTGCTTATGGCCAGCCGTACGCTGGCATGCCAGATCTGGGATTTAGCGCCTCTTCTCTCAGGTCGAGCTCTAATGCCCACTCTCCTGGAGCTGCTGCAGACAATTTGCCTGCCTCATCACCCCACGGCCAGTACTCCAGCACCCCAACTTCTGAGAATCAATCATCCTCCCCATCTTTTCCCAACTCTACCTCTTTGTACACCCCTAGCACAGTCACTAGCAGTATTTCATCCAGTCCCTATGCACAGGCTTTTGGAGGATCCACCAGCTCAGGGGACTCATCCACACGTGGTCCTTTCTCTCCATTTGCCCAGTCTTATGGCTACCCAATGTATGGATATAACCAGGTTAGTGGCTTTCCGCCTTCCAACTCTTTGGAGGGAGTCAATCGATATATGGGAGGCATTTCATCTTCACCACTAATGCAGTCATCTGCCATGGGGCTCTACTCCAACAACCAGGCCAGCCAGATGCCATTTCCCTATCACTCACCCATGAGTTGGGGTCCTCCAATTCCCGGGTTCCCATTGAAAGAGAGCTCAGACATGGTGTCACAAGATGAGCTGGAGCGGTACAGGTACAGGCAGCTGTCAAACCCATACTTTCCAGGCTTATCAGCGGGAGCTCCTACAGGGCGCAATTTTCCAGCACATGCGCTGCAGCCAGCTATGATGAGAAGCACTCCATTTCTCGATGACAGGACCCACAGTCCTCCTCCAAAGAAGCCCAAGAAGTCTGCAGAAGAAGCGGAAAGACCTCCCACACCTCCACCACGAGACCCTTCTACCTTCCACTCCCACAGAGGTGTCTATCTGTTTACCACAAACGTAGAGCCTGGCTCTCCAAATTACTTCTGTGACAAATATGTCTTGCTGGAAAAAGAGTTGTGTGAAAAGCTGTCTCGAGTCAGTCTTCCAGGCAAGATCCAGTATGTGTACAATCCCTTGGAATATGCTTTTGACTCACATCTAAATTTTGTGAGGAGATTTTGTACTGGAGAGAAGTATGTTTTGTTTGTTGGCATGAATCCTGGGCCGTTCGGGATGTCTCAGAATGGGGTTCCATTTGGCGAATGTTCGATTGTGAAGGAGTGGCTGCAGATTGAGGGTGAGGTCCTCAAGCCAGTTCTAGAGCATCCCAAGCGACGAATTGTTGGGCTGGAGTGCTCCAGATCAGAAGTCACCGGCGCCCGATTTTGGCAGTTGATTCGCACTTTGTGTCACACACCAGAACATTTCTTCAGAACCAGCTATGTGCACAACCTATGTCCGTTTGCCTTTCTGACCGACACAGGGAAAAATGTCACCCCTCCGCAGTTAGCCTCCTCTATTTTGGACCAGATCAACGTTTTGTGTAATGCCACTTTGATCGAGGTTGTACGACTGTTGAAGAGCAAGTACGTCATATGTGTGGGCAAATATGCCCTGGCTCAGGCACAGAAAGCCCTGTCAGGGGATGAGTTTAGTGGGATCACGTTAGAGTGCTTGATGCATCCCAGTCCCATCAACCCGGCCGCCAACAAGGGCTGGGCTGATATTGCCATCAAGCAGTTGACTGAAATAGGCATTATTGATGTTATTAGATATGGCAGGCCACCTTACCAGACTCCCAGTCAGCCTCCTTCCTTGTCCCATCCACCTCATCCTCCAAATTCAGCATCGTCGTCGTCATCGTCATCATCATCAGTGAGCCAACATTCCCATTCCCACCTCCAGTATCAAAATAAGCAATCCCCAGGTCACTACGGCTTCCAGTCTCCACCAGTGCAGTCCTGTCACCAGGGTTCAAACAGCCACCAGTCTCCGGCACATGCACCAGCACCCAGTCAGTCACCTGCACATGGCTCGTCACGGAGCCAGTCTTCTCCAGCCCATGCTCCAGCATCTGTCAACCAGTCATCACCAGCACATTCATCCTGTAGCCAGTCGCCGGCATTGCAGCAAGGACCAGCCACACAGTCTCCCACCCAGACAAGGGGAGCCAGCAGCTCCACTCCACACCAGGGTCCTGCAGACCAGCCAACAGATTATCAATATATAGAAACCAGGAACGGAGACAAGGGTAATGGAAACTTAGAATCTTCGGGCAGTTCTCATGAAGGCCAGAACTTTTCCCAACTTAGTTCTAATGGCATTCCAGCATATTCTAGTGACCCTGTTGGACATGGTCATGAGAATGGTATCCACTCTCACAGTGATTCTGGCTCCCAAAGTTCAGATATATCCAAAGGAAATTCACCAAGTATTCCATATTCTTCAGGAAACCCACATGCAAACACATCAGAGGCGCAACATTCACATTCAACGCCCAGTTCACACATGAGTGTTCCGAACTCCCAGTTAACCAGTAGTGGACACATGAGTGCAGCAAACCAGCGGATGCACCATCCCATGAGCTCTGCTCATGCTCATCTGGGAATGAGCATGCCAATGTCCAGTTCACCAGGCCTGCAGCAGACTGGCTCAGCTGACCATCATGTTGGCTTGTCTGGCCAGCAGATTAGCTCTCCGCAGATCCACACACCAGATCCTCACATGACCTCACAAAACTCTCACATGGGCTCCATGAACTCTCACATGGGGTCATCCATGGGAGGCTCTATGTCCATGGGATCACACATGGGAATGGGTGTTTATGGTCAGATGGGCTCTATGAATCCGTACGGTCAGATGGAGATGGGACATATGGGTGGTTATGGCCCATGCATGTCCCTTGGTAGTTACGTAGGGGCACCGGGTGTCAGACCTGGATCTGAAATGACAGGGTATGGACACCATATGGGTTTACATAATTCAGGCATGGGAATGACAATGTCGGGCATGCATAGTGGGAGACATATGGCGTCACAGATGGGAATGTTCAACCCACATATGGGTGCTATGATGGGTGCAGCGGAGCATCTGTCCATGCATCCTGGGGTCAACTCCATGTACGACAGCCACCTTGGCAAGGAGATGCCATACAACAGCCACTACACGGACAAGCCACCAGAATGTAGTTAATACCATCAGACCACTAAAGGTTATTTCGTTGTCTGCTGGGTATATGTCATACTTGGACATTTGTAGAGATCTACAGAGTGACAGCCAGCCATCGGTCGACAGCCAGCCGTGAACTACGTGCCCTTCTGAAATGATCACGAGATGATGTCTCGTTAACGTACAACTTACTGTCAACATAAAAAAATGAATCTGAAATATCCATATACATATATGTATATATGGTTTGCTGTCAAGTTGACTTATCGAGGTTGATGACCACTGTATGGGTATGTTATATGTATACATTGTTATATATTATGTCATTTTTGTTATTGAAAAATGCCATCATGACTTTTAACAAAATTGCTTTAAAAGTGTATATATGATTTTACATTGTACAGTTTTAGAAATAATTCAGCTGTCTAATTTGTCTTCATTCGGTAAGCCTTGTATGTTTCTTACTTACTTACTTAGTCGCTCCTCTTCTACCTTGGGGTGTAGAGGTTTGCCAGAGAGATCGCCAGACGTCTCTATCAGCAGTTTTCTTGTATGTTTCATGTATACAATCATTGTGCAGTAGCTCTTCAGTTGCTGTGGACTTGGGCTGGTCTGTGGACTTGGGCTGGTCTGTGGACAGGCTGGTCTGTGGACTTGGGCTGGTCTGTGGACTTGGGCTGGTCTGTGGACTTGGGCTGGTCTGTGGACTTTGCCTGGTCTGTGGACAGGCTGGTCTGTGGACAGGCTGGTCTGTGGACAGGCTGGTCTGTGGACAGGCTGGTCTGTGGACTTGGGCTGGTCTGTGGACTTGGGCTGGTCTGTGGACTTGGGCTGGTCTGTGGACTTTGCCTGGTCTGTGGACAGGCTGGTCTGGGGACAGGCTGGTCTGTGGACTTGGGCTGGTCTGTGGACAGGCTGGTCTGTGGACTTGGGCTGATCTGATGGAATATTTTTAAAATGTGACATATTGTTTTAATTCAAATCCATTTTATAAGTTTTTAACAAATGCAGCTAAAGATTTAGTCATCCAACTGTCAGCTCTGCTGTTATATTAATTCTGTCACACACACACACACACACACACACACATTGTCCCAAGGTAATCATTTCTGGTGTACACATTGAGTGCACAAATCTTACACTGGTCACTTTTTCCCCATCACTTTTTGCATCTGTGTGCGTCTGATGTACTGTAGTCTATGTCACACACATCACACGCTGGTCTATGTTCTATACATATTATCTATTGCTGTCATTTATTTGTACTGTACTGTTGTGTATGTCATGCAATCATACATTGTATTCTCCTAAACCTATCAATCACTGTCATTTAAGTCTACTGTACTGTTGTCTGTGTTAAACAATCATGCACTGGTCTGTATTCGCCAGTACCTGTCAATTAGTCATTTATGTCTACTGTACTGTTGTCTGTCACACAATCATGCACTGGTCTGTATTCTCCTATACCTATCAGTCCCTGTCATTAAGTCTACTGTACTGTTGTCATATGTCACACACACATCACATCCATTGTCAGCAAGACTGTTGCATGAATATTACAAAATATTTTCTCCTAGGAAATGTGTGTTCAGCCTGGCAAGTTTGTTAGATGTTTGATAACAGGACAGTTCTTCTGATCATACAGTTGGACCAGTGGATTGATATGCAGGCATCAGTTCCCTTCCACGGTTATGTGTGTAGATAAGTCAGCACTCAGTAGGCCGCCATCATACAGGGCTCATAGTCTAGTCCTCCATTCTGTTCTGTCTTGTGCAGTCATTTTAGTATCATGGATGAAATCCAGTCCAGCACCTTTGGCCTCTCTCAACTATGTTTTTTTTTTTAAATGGGTGGTGGGGTCATTATCAGGATGACAACATTTACTTCCAGAACATTTCCTGGTACCCATTTAGGGTAGGTTGACCTGGCTATTGAACTCATTAAAAAAAAAAAATTTGTATTTTGATTAGGATTCAAAGCCGGGAGCTCTGGATTGGCAGGCCAGTAGGCTGCTGCAGCTGACCTTCCTATAAATAAAAAGGCCCTTCTTATGCCATTGGGCATATCATGCTAGGATCATATTTTTTGTAGGCCAGCTACTACTTGGTGATGTGGTAAACATCACAGCGGCCTCTTCATAGATATACTCAGTTAAACAAAGGTGTTTTCTAGAAGAAGAGCAGCTGACCAAATTGTTCAAAATGCCCTGGTTCAAATCCTCAGTAAGGCTGCTGATTGTTTTGTTTTTCTGTCGGCAAAAATAAAACCCTAACCTGCAGTCCCTAGCGCATTGTGTCCCTAAATCCTCTGGTTCAAAGACCACCCCAAACGAGGTAAACAGTAATGGCAGTTTGTTTGATGTTGTCAAGTTGAAGTGAGACTGGAGATGTGACCTAAAAAATAAAAATAAAAACCAACTTCATATTGATAACAAATGTGCCAGCAACCCTTTCCTTTGCGATTCCTGAAAGTTCATTGTCAGTTTTGTGATCATTGTCTAATGTGTTAACAGATGTGTTTTCTTTTTGGGTGTGATTCACTGAAACTTTGGTGGGTGCTGGTTTACCACTGAGTTGTGATGGTATGGGATGTGTCCAGTCTTGTCTCTGATGAGGCTTGGACTTATGGTCAGTGCAGGATCTACACTGGTATAAAACATCCATTCTTGTGCCTAGAGAAGTGCACAGTTATGTTCAGCAGAGCGATAACTCTGCCGTCACATCTCCCGAGGGTGGTAATATCAAATTCAAACTGTATTCTTCAGCTCAGAGATGTTCACCCACCTGTAGTATTGAGTTCACCTGTACATATACATCTCAGTTAACCTTCTGTAGTCCAGTTCACATGCAGCTGTTCAGTAATGCTGATTGTGAGGTCTGCAGGAAACAGATGCTTGTGGGGCTGCTAATACTTGTACTAGGGGAGATTTAATTCAAAACCTTATATGTGTGATAGATTTTACAAAACCATTGCCATTGTCTTGTAACCTGTCAGTATTGTTTTTCAAGAGTGTTAAACAATGAAAACATGGTGACTTAATGACAGTTTAAATATGCCTGCCCCACACTGAACAGGAGCAGTATTCTTTTATCTTGTGTGTGTGTGTGTTTTAAATTAGTAAAGGGGTGTTTACAGCTGGGTCAAGCACGTCGAGTAGTGATCGCAGAGTCGATTAAAGTTGTTTTGATACCTCCTACTCGTTAGTGCATGTCAAAAGTGGGGTAGCTATCTTTAAACTGTCATTATGATGTCACCATGTTTATCTGCATAATGTTCATGTCACATGCTTGACACTCTTGAGATCCTTAACAACAGTATTGGCAGGTTACAAGACGATGGCTAATATAATTTCTATACACCTTTAAGGTTTTAATTTGAAGCCCCTGTTTATGCATACCTCTGGGATTTAGTCAGTTATGATGATTGGCAGTTCTTGTTGGTAAATGACTCTAAATATGATCATCGTCATATGTTCCTTGATAGAAACAAGCTTTGAAAGATTGTTGCCTCAAAGACTGATGCAGTGAAAGATAAAGAAAATGTACAGCACGTAAGATACAATGTTGAAAGTTTATCCAAACACAGATTCAACTATGGTACTTTCTTGAAAGCATAGACAAGAAGCTGTGTTTTAAAAAAAAATAATAATACAAGACAAGAGAAGCAGTTTAGTCCCCTGAATAACTGCTGTTCTACTATACAAATATAATTCATCATCAACACACACAGACTATTGGAAAATGTCTTGTTTCAGAATATGTTCCTTCTAATAACCTACCTCATCAGTAAATAATTCACACTTTTGTTGAACCCTTTCTGTTTTTTGTAACAAAGAGCTAGCTCTTTATACTTTTGCAGAAATGAATGATAATCATAGAGATGATGTTTACATATTTGCTGGATGGTTGCAAGCAGCTTCTGGGATATGAATTATTTCCTTGCTTTAAATACTTGACAATGCAGAATTTTTATCTTTTGATATGTACTTGCAATTGTTAATGTGTACATGATAATTTCAGACTAGTTTTACATATTTTCTGGTTTTATTTCTGTAATTTCTAAGGTTTACACCTGTACAGTTGATGTTTGTCTCTGGTTTCCAGTATGCATATATTTTTTACCTCTGACATTTGCTAATATAATGTTCCACAATTTACATAACTGTGTTTCTACTGTCTCATATATTTACTTTCATTTGTTGTTCTTTTCTGCAAGATGTTTTGACAGTTTTTTTCTTTTTCTGTAGTCATTAAGTATATCATGGTTTTCTTTAGTGAGATGGTAGTCAGTTTTCACATTTGTTGATTGTAAGACTGTATTGTTCTGTCATTTGTTGATTGCAAGACCATTGTTTTTTAATTGGAAGACTTGGTCTGTCATTTGTTGATTACAAGACTCTTTTCTGCTGGATATTTTATAGTCTTATCTTGTGTGACTTCTGTGCCATGATATATTGTGTGGTTCAGTCGATTATGTAGTTGTACCATGCACCTTATGTTGTGATATTTGATACACACATGCTGGCACAGTAATGATTCTGAAATGTAGTTCTAGAGTTGACAGTTGCTGTTTTTGTATCCTAAAACTGTCTGCCTGTCTACTGTTATATGGCTGTCTTGTGGTCTCTGCCTGACACATGTCCTCTGTCTGTCTGCTGACCTCTGTTTGATTAATGTCTAGTATCTGTTTACTGATCTTACCTATGTAAGGACCTGCACTTGACAAACGTTCTCTATGGATCTATGATCTTACTTGTCTACTGACCTCTACTTGACATATGTCCTCCAAATGTATACTGACCTGTATGTGACTGTAAGTCAGTCTGTTTATATTTTATTAAATTAGCTGTTATTAAAACATTATGTGTATGTCTACTTTAACGGACATAGACTGAGTAGATTCTGTGTTTGTCTGGTTTGTGTGTGTGTGGTTGACTGAATGTTATCCCTGTTGATAAGTTTTTGTGTTTGACAGATGTCAGGTTTGTCTGTGTTGAAGTGTTCTCATAAAATGAGCTTAGTTCA